TTAGCATAATTCTTAAGGACACTAGAAGTTTTGGAATGATAAGGCTTCACCTTAAAATCACCAGCTGCATTAACCTCTAACAAGGGAGTCAGCCTGTCCTCTGAAGCCAGACATTGATGTCTCTGTAGCTGTGAAAGTCCTAGATGGCATTTTCTTCCAACTTAAGGCTGTTTCATCTCCATTGAAAAGCTGTTGTTTAGTGTAGCCACCCTTCAGGCATGACCTTAGCTAGATCTTCTGGGTAGCTTTCTGTACCTTCTACATCAGTGCTTGTTGCTTCACCTTGCTCTTATGTAATAGAGATAGCTTTCTTCCTTAAACCTCATGAAGGAACTTCTTCTAGGTCCACATTTTCTGCAGCTTTCTCATTTCTCTCAGCCTTCATAAAAAGGAAGAGTTAGGGCCTTGCTCTACATTAGGCTTTGGCTTAAGGGAATGTTGTGGCTGGGTTGATCTTCTATCCGGACCACTCAAACTTTCTCCATAACAGCAATAAGGCTCTTTCACTTTATCATACATGTGTTTACTGGAGTAGCACGTTTATGTTCCTTCAAGGAACTTTCCTTTGCATTTACAACTTGGCTAACTGTTTGGCACAATAACCTAGCTCTCATTCTATCTTGGCTTTCATGACTCCCTGTCTAGGCTTAATCACTTCTAGCTTTTGATTGAAAGTGAGAGCCATGTGACACTTCCTTTCAGTTGAACACTTAGAGACCATTGTAAGGTTATTAATTGACCTAATTTAAAAATTGTTTTGTCTCAGAGAATAGGAAGGCCAAAGAGAGGGAGAGAGAAGGGGGAACATCCAGTTGGTGGAGCTGTCAGAACACACACATGTATCCATTAAGTTTGCCATCTTATATGGGTGCGGTTCATGGCGCCCCAGTACAATGGCAAGAGTAACATCAAAGATCACTGATCACAGATCACCAAGTGTAGCAATAAGGAAAAAGTTTGAAAGCTTGAAAGAATTACCAAAATGTGACACAGAGATGCAAAATGAGGATATACTACTGGAAAAATTGTGCTGATAGTCTTGCTTGACAGAGGGTTGCCACAAACCTTCAATTTGTGAAATGCACAATATCTGTGAAGCGCAATGAAAGAAGGTATACTTGCATTTGGCTAATAACTCGTAAGGGCTTCTTGGAAAAGTTAGTTAGCAAATTTATTCTTGCTGCTATGCCAAATTATTTATTTATTTTAAATATTTATTATTATTTCTGTTTGAATCTTAGGTTATTCACCAGGATTATAACTTGAATGGTGTAATTTTTCCTGATCCTTCAGGAGACTCATATTTAATGATAGCAACTTATTTCATGTTGGCTTTTGATGGTTTTATCTACTTGATATTGGCATTATACTTTGACAAAATTTTACCATGTAAGTACTAGTGGATTTTTTTCTGACCATCTATAGTTTTCAATTATGTGAAATATTTTTCCTTAAGTTTATATAAATATATTTAAAGAAATGGAGAATTAATATTTCCCATGTCAGACTGAATGAGTTCTTTATTTATACTTCATAATTTTAATGACCTGAATAAATTTTTATGTAAAAACAATTATTCTTCTGACTTTGATATAATTATAAAATAATGATAGTTATAATACATATAATAACTACATAGTAATTAAATAATGTTATTTTTCAAGGATCCCTGAAAGTGTTTTGAAAGAATAATATTTAGGATATGTATCAGAATGAGGTGAAATAAATTAGTTCTTATGATGTCTGGCTAGGGTAGGGCCATTGTACTGTGAAGTGCTCCCTAATAAATCTTTGTTCAGTGTTATTCTAAATTTTTAAATATTTTTTCATATTTACAGAAGTATATTAATTACAGATTTTCTTTATCTTGCATACAACCAAATTTTCATATGAGCCCAGAATTCCTTCGCACATGCTAGAATTGGAATGCTTTTTTTTTTTGCACAAATCTTCTTATGTATCCTTTTATTTTATATGTTCCTTCCACTTTGACGATATTTAAGGTTCTCTTATATGTTTCTATATACTTATACATATTCCTGTCTTTCTATTACTTCTGGTTTATATCTGAAGGTTCTTAAGTTTATATGTTCCTTCCACTTTGACGATATTTAAGGTTCTCTTATATGTTTCTATATACTTATCCATATTCCTGTCTTTCTATTACTTCTGGTTTATATCTGAAGGTTCTTAAAAACAACCACTACTTCATTATTTTAAAATCTGGAAAAATTTTTTAAAATGTGACCACAGATTTATCTTGAACAGATATAATTCCTCCATGTATTATTTTTCATTTATGTACCTACATGTGAATATATAGATTTCAGTACTTGGTTTAATTTTATTGCTGTGGTCAGATTATTCAGGTTCACAACATGTCTACAATTATTTTTATGTGCTATATTAAGTCTTTGCATATTCCCAAATATTTGGTTTCATTCATTCTTTTAAATCCTATTAGAGCACATTTTATTCAAACTTTTGATATATACTTTATTGAAAGTTCTATTATGCTGTTAAACTTTTCCAATATGTTATTTCCTTTGAATTTCATTGTTTACTTCATTATCAAGTTTTTTTTCCTCTGTAACAAATAGAGAGAAGGAAAAAATTTTCTCTATGATGCTTAAAATGACAGTTTGTTGATATTCTGTTGTCTCTTGATTAATTAGACGGAAATGAACGCCATTATTCTCCATTATTTTTTCTGAATTCATCACCTTGTTTCCAAGACCAAAGGACTAACAAAAAGGTTATTGAGAAAGATATAGATCCTGAATGTTCCTCTGATGATTATTTTGAACCAGTAGCTCCTGAATTCCAAGGGAAAGAAGCCATCAGGTATCACACTTATATTTATACTAATGCGTAAGTATAACTATAGTTATACTAATATACTAATCACGCTTATAGTTATACTAATAGTTACACTAATATATACTAATACACTTTAGTAAAGTTAAAGAATCATTAACCAACAGATACAGGGTGAACCTGAGGCAAAATCTTGAGGGAGAAGAAGTCTGTTTTTGTCAATGTCACTTTGATGTCACTGTTCCACTGCCATCACCACCAATTTCTCCTAATGGCTGCTTGAAAGGAAATTTTTCTTTAATTATCAGCTCCGTGTAATATGAACTTGCCGTATTTCATCTTGTCTTCTTTCTTGCTTCTGTTTCTTGTCCCCCACACACCTCTTTTTTATACTTGTTCCTTTTATTCTCTGAATGCCTTTTTCCATAGTTTTGTCTACTTGTAGGGTCATTATGGCATTTGGTAGGTGGCAGAATCCTGAGAGGAGTATTTGAAATATCTCTCAGATACTACCTGCCATGAACTAACTTAGCAGGTGTGGGACTGCACCAAAGTATCCATGGATTTTAAAGAGCCCTGTATATTTTTCTACAAAATTTGTGACAAAGTTAAAAAGCCAGACCTTTAAATAGTAGCCATTTATTTATTTAGCAGATGTTCACATAGTTCTTACTATGTACCAAACACACATTTAATTCTCACAAAAGCTTATGAGGCGGGTACTTTAATTTTCCCCACTTTACAAATGAGAAAAGTGAAGTATTGAAAGGTTAAGTCTCTTGCTCAGCATCACACAACTCGTAAGTGGGGATCTAGGATTAGAATACAGACAGGCTATGTTAAGAACAGTCTATGTTCTTAACGTCTGGCTACTGTTGAGATGTCAGGAGGCAAAAGAAAATGAATAGACAACCATAGCTAGAAAGTGAAATATTTCTCTCCAAGACCAAGAGCATAGGTCTAGCCTACATACTTAAGCTTCATCTATCTAGTTCTTTCCCTATTTTCTGTTAAGTTTTCTGAAGGGGTAACAGCCTAGCCTGCCCCCAACTAAAAGTATACCAGCTCCATGGACATTATCTATCCAAACAAGAAAGGCCAAGTGAGAAGTAATTCTCCCAAATTCAACTCCAATGTCATCAGTTCCTCTTTATCAATCGAGAGCATAAAAATGAAATTATATTATTACTCAAATTATAATAATTTTCAGATCCAGTCTTCCAAGAAAGTCTGTCACTTCTTTGTTTCTCTACTGCTGCTAAAGGTCAAGGAGAGAAAGTGAAATGTCCTCCCCCTACTGCGTCTCTTCTCTATTCGCCACCCCCCTAACCCCCTTCCCCGCCTCCCTAACCCTAGCCAGTCTGTGCAATCTTGACTGGATATCCCTGTCTCTTGGTCTGGATTCTTAATGAAGGTGGAGGCCTGGACCCACTGACAAACCAGGGAAGGAAAGTCATCTGATGCAAGGCCTGTTCACTAACGCTTTTGGCTCCATTGTGGGACACCTCATTCCAGATCCACTCTAAAGTAGGAAAGTAGGTGTAGGCACCTAATGTTGCAGCTTTTTAGCAACAGGTAATACATACTTGGTCAGCATCGAAGCAGATTCTGGGCCTGCCAGGCAATCTAAAACTGCCCTTTGACCACCCCACATTGGCTGCAGTTTCCAATCCACAAGTCTTGTCTCTTCTTTGGTCACAGTGACCCTTCCTAGTAACATGATTGCCATTCCCCACCACTAAACAGTGTCAAATCTATCCCAGTCAATCCCAATGTGTAAATTTGATTTTGTGTGGATATAAAAGGTACAAGGTAATTTCTTTTTTCCCAGGTGGTCTTTGCTTTATAGGTAAATTAACTCTTCCTTTCCCTAGTGGCCTTTAAGCTGTAGGTATCAGAGGATATGAAGGAAAGCTTGCAGAGTTCTAATCATAATCATGATCCTGGCTCTGTAAAAATATCTATTTTTTATTCATAATTGTCTCTCCTCCACCCATAACCCCCCATTCACATTCTTTTCTGGGGGCATTTGTGTGCATATCTATGTATTCCTATAACTACAGATCATTCAAGCAACATTCCCAGAACACAAACAGGATGTCTGTCCCATTTGTAAACAGCTATCTTCATCTCTAAAATCTGAAAACAACCAGCTGCTCCTTGAAAAGGTTTCTTTATTAAAATAAAACATTAATATCCCACTTCAATGGGCATCCCACTATACAAAGACGGGCTGAAATAAAATTGTTTGACTCAACATCTTTCAATCCTTCTTAATTTATTCATTCATTCATTCAACAAATATATTGTTGCACTTTCAGTGTTCTATACTAATTTTTAGGGCTACAAAGATGAACAGTGCACTGTCTTTCAAGGAGCACACAGCCTGGGGGAGAAAATAAATAGAAGCATAAAACTGGATTTGGTAAACATAGGGATAAGGATGTTAACTGGTGTTATATAGTCAAAAAACAGTATCAACTAACCTAGCTTAGGAGAATTGGGGAGAACATATATTTTTCTTTTGAAAAGTTAAAAATTACTGAAAAAAATGAGGCTCCTAAAGTCAACATATTCACCACCCAAGTTGAACAGATATAAACATTGTCATATTTGCTTTATATTTTTAGAATTGGGGAGAACATATATTTTTCTTTTGAAAAGTTAAAAATTACTGAAAAAAATGAGGCCCCTAAAGTCAACATATTCACCACCCAAGTTGAACAGATATAAACATTGTCATATTTGCTTTATATTTTAAATGAATATATTATATGCTTATTTGAAGTCCCCTTTGATTTATCTATATTTTCTCCCTCCTTTGTCAGAATTGATCTTTATGATGGATTTGGTGTTGTGACTTGTCTATATTTACATATTGCAGCATGCACTTATAGCCCTAAACAGTATGTAGTATAGTTCTATCTGTTCGTAAAATAATCTATAAATGGTATCACATTATACTTATGTTTCTGCATATTGATCTTACACTCAACATTATGTTTTTTGAGAGTAATTTATTCATAGTGATAACTATGATTAATGTGTTGATTTCAACTTTTACATAATATTTTCAGACATGAATCTACTACTTTTCTTTTTAAATCCCTTCTTACATTAAGGAATGTTTCGGTTGTTTCTAATTTTTTGCTCTTACAAACAATGCAATGAGCATTCCTTTAAGAATAAGCCAGATAAAGTGATGAATTTATACGTATGTATACATGTGTGTGTAAATGTGTGAGTGTGTGTGTACACATGCATATGTGTATGACACACCTAGCAGAAAAAACAAAGAGCTCTAAGCTTTGGGCAGGATATAACAGGTGGTTTGATGGTCCTGACACATGAAACATGAGTCAGAAGGTACTGAAAGATGTGACTGGAGGGCCGGCCCAGTGATGCACTGGAGAGTGCGCCACTTGGGAGTGTGGCGGTGCTCCCACCGAGGGTTCAGATCCCATGTGGAGACCGGTTCCCGCTCACTGGCTGAGCGCGGTGCGGGCGTGACACCGAGGGTTGCGATCCCGTTACCGGTCAGTAAAAAAGACAAAAAAAAAAAAAAAAAAAAAAAAGAAAGATGTCACTGGAGAGACCATGAGAGGATGCTTCATGTCGTACAAGGGAGCCATAACTTTCCCTCTGAGGCTGATGACGAAATCCTGAGGAATGTTGAGGAGTGAATAAAATGGATCTTATTAGTGAATCAGAAGAAGACCTTATTAGGAAACAGAGAATGAATATTTAGAAAAGTAGAAAGAAAACCAATAAAGCGGAATGTAGACACTTTCAACAAAGAGAAAGTCATCATTAGTGGCTCATAATTTAATAAGTAAGGATGGAAAAGTATTTCTGCATTTGGTAATTAGGAGGCCACCAATGATTTCGGTAAGAATCGGGTCATTAGAGTGCAGAGTTTAAACATCAGTGCAGTTGAGGAGGAAACAGAAGGTGGGAAAGTAGACATGGAAAGTTTTCACTTTTACTTTGAATTTTGTAAAATAAGGAGAAGGGAAAAACTCGATCATATTTAAAGCAGAGTTAGAGTTTAAAGAGAAGCTATTAGAGAGGAAACTACAGAAGATGCAGGTGACAGAGGGTCTGACTAAGGACCAAGATGTGGAGGAGGGGGATGGGGGATGGTGGTTAAGGATGGCAGGTGAATGAGCTGATCTTAAATAGCTGGAATAATGCCGAATGTTCTAAGACTGGAGGGAGAAACTGAGTATAATTACAGAGCATTCTACTTTTCTACACACAATAATAATAGTTTAATTGTACCTTTTAGAGAGAATTTTATTTTCCATCTCAGGGAAATGATTAATCAAACATTAGTCTTTGCCTTTCTGAAATAGACTGCTTATGCCCCTCCTTATTTCACATAAAGTGACTGACTGTATCACATAACTAGTGTTATTCATGATCTGTGCTATCGTTACTTATGTGTTGGCTAAGTAAACACCCCTTTTGTTATTTCAGAATCAGAAATGTTAAAAAAGAATATAAAGGAAAGTCTGGAAAAGTGGAATCATTAAAAGGTAGAGAAAAACATTTTATGCTTTCATTGACTTTTTTATTACAAAAAAAAAAAAAGGGAAAAGTTCAACGCAAAAATTTGAAAATATTGATAAGCAAAACCAAAAAAGGAAAAAGAATACAGACAATCTAACTCTATGACCTGGACGTAAATCATAATTAAGAAATTGATGTAAAATCCTTCCAGATTCTTCACAGATCTGTTAATTTACAAAAATGGAATCATACAATGAAAAATGCATTTTCACCTTTTTTTGAAGATGAATCTGCTATAAATAATATTTTATATATTTTAACTATGAGAAAAGAACATCTAAATTTACAAGTCTGATAAATTTTTTACGCTAGTCTGGAAATTTATAATAGTTTATATCTACTGATGAGGTTAACTAAAACAAGATGATTAAAACCATTGACCGTGAATTAAATTTTGCAAGTTAATATTCTGTGACAAACATAGTTTATAACTTTAAATGAACAAACATATTTTGATTCTAAATATTTTAACAAATATAGTTTTCTATAACAGACATTTAAGTAAGCATCAAACTTAGTAACTACGTTTTATAAGAGGACAGCTTGCTTTTATTAAAAATGATTTTTTTTGGAGGAATAGAAATAATTTTTACAAGAGGAAGAAGACTTAAAAGCTAAAAAAGAAGGGCCATGAACACTCTGAAAGGTTGAAAGTTCTTTGTTCATTGTGTTTATATTGAATTTAATTTCTAACAAGTGCGGCATCCTTTAACTCAGTCTTATTTATTCCTTTGAGATTAGGTCTATGAGCCTTTAATGTATGTGGGTGAATAATTTTATTCTCCCTCTGTTTTTCTCTTCAAAGACTATCTAGATCTGTGATTTATTCCTTTAATTTTAGCTGAGGTTATGCTAAAGTAATTTTAACTTTATAATTTCAATTTCCAGAGCACATTATGAATTATTTTTGCACTCATTAATAATTATGAACTTATTTTTGTCTAAATATCTTCAGCTTCGTTAAGAATTTGTACACTTTTTTTGAAGTAGCAGCACCTTAAAAATTAAAAGCATTGGACATCAATACATAAAAATATAAGAACCAGATGCACTCTCAGCCTTCTCTTCATGCAGTTATTCCCTGGAGCAACTTGGGAACACCTGTGGGAACACAGTTTTGAAATCCTCTATCTATGGCCTATTTTTCAGTGACTAAATATCATTCCCTTGTATAAATGCCATGATTAACCTGACTGGCACACCATGTATGAAATTCAGTTTGTTTCTAATTTTTTTACTACCATAAAAAAAAACACTAAATGTTCTTGTTCGTTGTTTGTAAATGTCATGATTATTTCCTGAATATGAATTTCTAGAAGCAGAATTATTCAAAGAAACCATATTTTCAAGATTCGTGATTCATAATTCAAATGTTGCCCTCCAAGATTATAAAAATTCATATTCCCATAAGCAAAACATAACTAATAATAATGACAACAACAAAAACAATAGCAATGCACACAAAGTTTATTGAGCATTTAGTGCATGCTGGGAACTATGCTAAGTGATTTACATGGGCGTTTTTCATTTAATTAAAAAAATATATACTAATAGCTCCCTCACTTTGCAGATGAGGAAACTGAGCCTTATATCATTTTTTCAGTTCCCGAGATAGCAGGCCTCACTTTCCTTTTTACTCTTGAAAACACTGTATTTTCCACTTAAAATCAAACAAAATTTGTTGATGTACTTTTTTATTTTTCTTAATATTATTTATTATATGACTCATCTTTTTAAAATTAATTTTATTTTTCAAGATAATTAGTATATTCAACATTACACAATGTAATCATTTTTGTGGCCATTTACCAATTTATATCTAACCCCTGCTTCCTCTCTCTTTCCCACCTCTAGCAGCCTTTCCTTTTGAAAGTTCAGTGAATTATTGTGATTGATGTATCTTTCCTTCTTTTTTCTTTCTTTCTTTATTTTTTTAGCTCCCACTTCTGAGTGAGGACATGCAGTATTTCTCTTTCTGTGCCTGG